GCAGAGTATGGTCTGTTCAAGACTCTTCTCCAGCACCACCATTCAAAGGCATCAATTCTTCTGTCGTCTATGTGGTCATTGTCCAGCTCTTTGATGCATAGCAAGTAATTGTGAAGATCATGGCCTGAATCAGCGTACCTTATTCTCCAGACTGACATCATTGTTCTTCAGCACTTTTGAAAGATCCCTGAAAGCAGCTTTCCCTGGAATAGTTTATCTTTTGATTTCTTGACTGCTGATGCCAAGATTGTTGATTATTGAGCCAAGCAAGCTGAAATTGTTAACAACTTGAATTTCTCCTCCATCCATCATGATGCTGCCAATTGATCCAGTGATGAGAATCTTTATCTTCTTGATTTTGAGCTTCAATCCATACTGTAGACTGTAGTCCTTGACCTTCTGCAGCAAACACTTCAGGCACTCCTCAGTTTCAGAAAGCAAGGTTATATCATCTTCATAATGTAGGTTGTTGATGAGTCTTCCTCCAATTCTAATGCTGTATTCCTCCTGAATATAAGTCCAGCCTGACCTTTTCTGTATATAGATTGAAAAGGTATGGAAACAGGATGCATCCCTGATGCACTCCTGTCCTTATTTTGGCTCACACAGTGTTTCCTTGCTCTGTTCTGACCACTACTACTTCCTGGTCCAAGTATAGACTTCTCATGAGCACAGTCGGGTGTTCTGGGATCCCCAGTCTTCTCAAGCTGAGCCTCAATTGGTTGTGATAAATACAGTCAAATGCTTTTGCATAGTCAATTAAACACAGATAGGTATTCCGCGGTTACTCTTTTGCTTTCAGCCAATATCCACCTGACACATTGGCGATAATGTCTCTGATGCTACCACCTCTTCTGACTAAACCCAGCCTGTATTTTTGGTAGTTCTCTGTAGAAGAACTATTTCAGTAATTTTTAAAAATAATCTTCAGCAGCATTTTGTTTGCATGTGATATCAGTGATACTCTTCCATAATTTCCACACTATTTTGGGCCATCCTTTTTTTGGAATGAGAAGAGAAATTAATCTCTTCCAATCAGTTGGCCAGATAGTTGTCCTCCAGATTTCTTGGCACTGGTGCTAATAGCAGTGATCAAAAAAAAATAGGAAAAATGCCATTTAGTGTGTGAAGACATTGAAACTCTCTTTTCACTGCTGGTATGATGGTATAGTGTCAACAGTATGTACTTTGTTGAAAAGTTAGAAGTAGAGATCCCACAGTAATTTCTAGTAGGTACATAAATCCTCGAGAAGTCAGAGTTGTCATAAAGACTAACATACAGATGGATACCTAGGTTAATGAGAAGCTCTGATGATGTAGCACATGACATGCTGTGCCTCTAACCTGGAGGTCAGAATCTCGAATCTCCCAGCCACTCCACGGAGCAAGATGGTCAGACTTAGATACCCGTTGGAAGGTCAACAGGAGTCGGAATTGACCTGACGGTAATGACTCTGGTATTTTGGTGTGCCTAGCTTGGCAGGTAAATAGGTGTAGGATGGCAAATGAGAGTACACTCTTGAACAGGCATAGTTTTGCCAAACAGTATTTCTTTTTTTTTTTTAAATTTAGGTTGTTTATTTTTCATTTCAATGAACATCTACAGAGATTTTGGGATCCAAACAGTATTTCTACATATATGTTTGTATATGCTATAAATACAACCACGTATTTAGTAAAAGGGCTAATTTGTGCAAACTTCTTAGCCATAAGCAAGCGTCTTTAAAAACTAAGTCATTGTTGAAGGTTTGGAATTGGAAAAGAAATTAAGGTTATTAACAATTACAGCTTGCTCTCAGCTCCATAGTCAGCACTCCAGCAGTCAGGAAATCAAAAAACTAATTGCACTGGGAAAATCTGCTGTCAAGGATCTTTCTAGAATACTGAGAAGCAGTGATGTCAGTCTAGAGACCAAGATGTGCCTGGTCCAGGTTATGGAATTACTTGCAATGCATCAGAGAGCTGGACAATGACTAAGGATGACAGAAGAACTGATGCTTTTGAGTTGTAGTGCTGGAGAAGAGTCTTGAACATACCATGGACCACCAAGAAAACAAATAGGTCTGTCTTGGAGAGGGTGAAACCAAGTTTCTCTGTGGAGGCTAGGATTTTGAAGCTCCATCTCACATACTCTGGGCATTTGGCCAGAAGGGACCAGTCCTTGGAGGAAGATATCATGCTTGAAAGGGTGGAGGACAGCGCAGAGAGGAAGATGAGGAAAACTCCGGATGAGATGGATTAATGGGGTCATTGGGGTAATGGGAGTAGGTGTGTCAGAGTCAGTGAGACTGGCTCAGGACAGGGCAGGGTTCATAGCTGTTGTACATATGGTCACTATGAGTTGCAGGCGACTCAATGGCACATAACAGCAATAAGGTTGACTGGCATAACAAAGTCCACAAAAACTGATACTGTATATCCTACTTTGATAAGTAGTGACAGATGACTGCCTTAAAACCTGCTAGTAGCCGTCTGTCTAATCTGGAACAAAAAAGAATGAAGAAAATGGAAAAACTCAAGGAAATAATTAGTCCGAGGTTCTAATGGATCACAGATCATGTGAATCAAAAGTTCTACTAGCCCGAGCCCAGAACTACATGGTAACCAGCCTCCACTACCACTGCTCTGATCTGGATCCCAATAGAAAGCCCTGGAAAGATGGGAGATAAACGTAAGCCAGAATGCATGGAAAGGTCATCCTTGATGATCTTATAGAGACGAGTGGAATCCCCAAGATTAGGACATGTCCCTCATGCCTAGAACTCAGCCTACTGCCAGAGATCTCTGTTCAGCCAGACAGTAGACAGTAACACCCACGAGGAAGGTACTTCTCAGAACAATCAACCGTATCACGCCTAATGGACAACATTTGCTGAGAAACGGAGTTCAGAAGACAAGAACAGGCAAGAAAGATGAGCCAATTGAAATGCGTCCAGGGCAAAAGTGGGAAGTGTACTGTCATTTGGGGGGATCATAACTAATGTCACAAAAGAAGATGTGTGCAATTGCTGAATGGGAAATGAATTTCTGCTGTAAACTTGCACTAAAACCACAATAACATAATAATAATTTTAAATAATAGTTCAAAAAACAATAATGATTGATCATTATGTTTTCTGTACCCTCTGTACTAGCTCTGTCTCTGTTACCTGAAGCTTTCACACTGTAAAGTTAATTCTCAACTCACCTCCTTACTCCACTGATAGAACCTGTATCCTTCTCATCATTGGATTCCCCCATCCTAGCACCCGTGTGAAATTTAGATGTTCCAGGCTATTGTTTTCCCTAATTGAGTATTTGCTGCATTCTTGGATATACTTGTTAATGCTATTTTGTTCTTTAATAGAAGAATTCAGAAGACAAGGAATATTTTAACATAGTTTCTACCAAAGATGTTTTAAAAATGTGTGTGTGTGTATAAGAATCTTCTTTGTACTTTTGGGGTTTTTTTAATGGTTAAAAAAATTCTTTTATCTCACTGTCAAATATTGGAATACAGAAATCAACTGAATAAAGCCAATTATTTAATTTTAAAAAATGGTTCAGGAATACGCCCAAACCACTTGACTCATTTGAGTTTCCTGCGTATCCCTAGGAAATATGTGACTGTGACTTAATGGTAGGGATTTGCACTGCCAGCTCAAAGTTGCACAGTTCAAATCCACCAGCTGCTTCATGGGAAGAAGACAGACAGTCTCCTCCTATGCAGTTTACTGCCTCATAAAACCACCTGAAGGGTCAGCTAGAAGATGAGGTCTGCTCAGTGGTACTTAGTATAGCCATCTCAAGTCATATCTCTTCAGATTTGGAATTACTTCTCATTCATTGACGTAGATGTAGGTCTAATGACTAAGGTACTGCCTCACACATAGTGTCCAACCCATTAGTTGAGTCACGCAGGCAGTGAAATTGATGTTGCTTTGAGGGCAGAGAAAATAAATAGCTAACAGCCAGAAGGAATTGGAGATCAACACCTATTTCATACAATCTAAACATGACTTTCCCATGCAGGAATGTAGGAGGAGTGGTTTTGGTTAATAGAATGACATACTAATATACGGTCATAAAAGCCTGAGATGCCCAGGGAGCAGCCTGGTGTGGGTGTGAGAGAGAGATGGGGCCAGATCAGGGAAAGGAAGGGGAAACTCCACCAAGAAGAAAGATGGAGAGGGCTTTGCTTGTCCATGCTAGTATTTGCATTTTACCACTGAAGACTGGGTACTCATGGGAAGGTTTTAATTAGGGAAACTACATGATAAGAGTTGTGTTTGGAGAGGAGAATACTTTTAAAAACATAAAGGATTAATTGGAAAGAAGCAAAATTTTAAAGAGACACATTTGGTCTTTAAATATGTGAATTTGAAGTTATCAACAAATGGGTTTCAGAAATAGGGTCGGAGATAAGTTGGAAGTTTGAGACTCACTCATTTTCTTAATTGGAGCCACAGAATGGGTTAAGAAGGCACAGAAAATTAGAACAAGAAAAAAAATGTAGACCATTGGAGAGGGTACACAGCTGGTTGAGAAAAGTAGCAGAGAAACAGGTTTAAAATAAAAGGAGGAAGAGATTTGCGTAACGGAGAGGTGTGGTAAGTTGTGTTGATTGCTATGGTGATATTTGACTGAACAAAATCTTAGCTGAGATATTTGGTTTGGCCATGAAGTGTTCTCATTTTTGTTGTTTATGGCTTATTTATATTCTTTTGTTATAGTTTAAACAGTCCATGAGCATGAGCACACCAACTTTCAATTTTCTTGTAGCGTGTGATAATTAGTAGATGGTGAATTGCATATTTGCAGTGGTTTTGGGAGGGTCACAAAGTAATAAATAATATACAAATTGTTTTGGAAATTTATTGATGTAAAGAAGCCAATTTATATAAAAATGTTTTCAGACTGAAATATCATTCTAAACAACATTATTGCAAATACACATTTATGACTGATAGTTTAGATAGAATATTGCAGTCTAGTGATTGTGCTTGTTTTTGTTTGCATAGCTTGGCGCCTGTGTTTGCTCTGTTTGTACCGTTTTACTGCTCCATACCACGAGTCCAAGTGGCACAGATTCTGGGCCAATTCTCCATCACCAACAAGACACTGATTTACATATTGGGACTACAGGTAGAGTATACAGCTTTATGTTCACCATTTCTCTAACCAGATCTTTCTTTTTTTTCCTTTTTTGGTCTTTTTTTTTTTTTCTTCTCATTTGATCTCCTGAAAACAATGTTTTTTCCCATAAGTTTGGCTTTATGATCTGTATCAAACGTTCAAAGGAAGTGTTCGAGAACAAGAACATCAAAGTAGCTGAGGAACTGGAATACTTTCATAGCCTTTAGAAATCTGATAAGAGCTTTCACTGTAATTTGTATCAGTGGAAAATATTTTATTTTCATTGTTCAATTGCATATTTGAGTATTTTTTTAAAGAAATTATTGTGTGAAATGGAAACAAATGAGAGCAATCAAAATGTGGAGAGTGGAAAATCACTGTCACATTACTTCAGTGGATACAGTGTCAGATATATAAAGCTCAGAAGAAGAACTCAAATATACTTGCCCGATCTTCTCTGATGGTTTTTGAAGAAGCGCTGTTAGTTTTCTAACTCTGTGTTACTTACAGAGATAGCACTGTCACCTTTTGCTAAATGGTTCATTCAGTGTAAAGACCCTTATAGTACTTACTGTCTGACTTCCTTTGAAAAGGTTATCTTAGTAAATAAATATTTATTTATATTCAAGAAATATTCCTTGTCCCCTGCTATGTTCTGTGTCCTATGGTAGAAGACTCATGGAGTTTCTGATTTCTTACTTGTTGTCACTTTTATTCTCATAACTTCTGATGTCAAATTTTATCCCACTGCTTCCTGCGGGACCATGTGTCAGTTGGCCTTTTGATCCACTGATCAGTAGTCAGAGCAGACTCGTCCTACACGTTTCAAACCGGATACCAGAGCTCCTTTACCGTGCCCTCCTCTCTCCCCTTTTAACCTTTCACATTTCCTCTTACTCCTCTAGCCCGCTGTCGTGTGTTATCAATGGCTAATAGGGAGTGGCTGTTTCCTTACCACTTTTACCACCATTGCTCATGAAATGTTTTTCTTCATGTCTCAACCCCTGTGCTTTTGCACATTCCTTTATTCTTCTTAATAGTCATCTAACTTAATGACCCATTGCTGTTATACATTTTATACTTATTGCTAGAGTTTCCTCTGAGTTGTTTTTGTTGTTGTTGTTGTTGTTGTTGAGTACCGTCAAGTCGGAACCAACCCGTAGCCGTCCCTCCAGCTGGTTTTCAGAGGCTTGCATGGGAGATTGCCCAGCCTTCTCCCTCAGAGCTGGTGGATTCGAACTGCATGTCTTCAGGATTGCAGTGTGGTTTCCTACCACTTGGCCGGATGTTAAGAAAGAACACAGAATGGAATAGTAGAAGAATGCCCTCGACCTGGAGAAGGAGACCCATGTTCTAGTTGTAGGGAGACACTAGCTGTGAGACTTAGGCCAAGTTATATAACCTTCCTGAGGCTTGTGTTGAGTTTATAGCGTCCTGTACAGCTCTTACATGGTGTTGAAGCTCTTGGGGAGCAAAAGTGTTGTGTTAGTAGTTACGGGGCAGAAATTCAGTGCAACATTGTGGATTACCTTGGAGCCATGTGAACTGGGGTTCAATTCCTTGCTCAGATAATTGTCACCTTTGTTATTTACCTTTCTTAGTCCCCACTGGCCTAGCTGTAAATGGGCATAATAAAATCTATCTTACAAGGTTATTTAAAATATTAGAGGTAATAGTTGCTGGATATTTATTGTAATTGGAACCGGTAATGAGAACTAGTTTGTTGGTTCCTATTACTAGTTAATAATCTATGTCTTTATCCCTACCACCTTTGATTCTTTGGAGATGATTAATCTATCGCTTTTGTCTCCTTGACCATCTCCCCAAAAATACGTAGCTCCTGTCATAATAGCCATTGTATTTAGTGCTATTTCAGTATTGAATAACTTGCAAATATTTTCAATAAATTCAATAATGGGGTAGAAGTTGGCATCAGAAATTAGAGATGAGAAGTTAGAGATCCAACAGCTTCTTTGTAAAACTCTTCACATGAACATTGCTGCACATGGTTGTTCTTATCTATCTGGTAGCAATGACCGCCCGTTCCTGAATCAAGTATGACTGAACCCCTTATCTTAAAGTCGCTATTCTCATTCCCTCTCCCTGCTCTTTAAACCTTCCCACAGGTTTCCTTCTGCCTTTTCTTCTCTCTACAACAGCTGCTGTAGCCAGGGACATTGGTTGGATGGATGAATGAATAACTTCAGTTATACAAAAAAGCAAAATTAGTTGTTAAGAGGCATCTAAATATCAGATGACTTCTAAGTTGCTCATGCAGTTCCCTAATGCTAGAGAACATAAATTGAAATATGAGACTTAACAGTTGTTCCCACGGAGCACAGCAGCTGAGAGGAAATGTACATATCGTCGAAGCAGAAACAAACAGAACCAAACTTGAAACAAGTTGAGAGGTTTAACATTTCAAAGGAGACCGTTTTTTAAAAATAGCTAAAATTAAAAAAAAAATAAATTGCTAAAATGATTGACTTGTTTTACTGGTGTGTTGTTGTTGTTGTTGTGCACCAGAGAGTTGGAACCGATCTATGGCTGACCCTCCAGTGGGTTTTCAGAGGTCCAGGATCGCACGGAAGGAGATTGTCCTTCCTTCTTCCATGGAGCAGCTGGTAGTCTCGAACCTAATGCCTGTGGTATTACAGCACAGCTTTTACCACTAGGCCACACCAGAGCTCCCTAGTCTTTTAATTTCTTGACTGCTGGTGCCAAAGTTGCTTACTGGTGTATAAGATACAATAAGCTGAAAACAACTGCAAACAGTGTAGAGCTTTGGGGCCAGCTGCCTGGGTGCAACTCCCAGCTTCACTACTTCCTGACTTTTGGCCTTATATAAAATACTTAACCTCTCAGGGATTTTTCCCCCCATATGTAAATAGAAATAATAGAATTTAGCTCCTAGGGTAATGATGAGGCTTCAGTGAATGTAATGCATGGAAAATATTAAAATCAGTGCTTGGAACATGCTGGGTGCTATGAAAGTATTAGTTACTCTACTGTTTTCTGTGTTGAGAAGAAAATAATCATGAAGTATTTTTTTCTTCTTGTAATTCTGGCCTTGTTTATTATCAGAGGCATCAAAATAAGCATCAGTGCTAGATCAAAAGGTGTTTGAAGTTGTCGCTTGTACTCATTTCTTCATGACAAAGCCCCTCTGGAAGGTCTGTGAGCCTCCTCTTACCTGCGTTTTGCTCCTTCTTGCCTTTGTGTCTGTCTTCTCTGTTTCCTTGGCTAAGAGTGCCAGACTCTGAGGTGTTGGCCGTCTAGCACATGCTGCAGTCAACCTATAGCGATAGCATGTTTCTTCCTCTGTGATTAGAAGAACTTAAACTCCCAGCCTGTGGTTCTAAAATTTCACATTAAGCCACAGATACTTTCTTCCTTGCAGAATATTTTAAAACCAACCAACCAACCAGCCCACCCTGAGCTCTAGGGTAAGGAGGCTTTGGAAAGAAAAGGGGAGACTAATGAAATCCAATTCTAATTATTTTTTCCATTCATATAAACTGTTATTGTTACTTTGCATTTTTTTTTTGAGGGACCTGGTATCAGCATTCAAGAAAAGTAGTGTTTGACTACGGAGCTATATGCTTACAGAGTTCTTCTGATTTACAATGGGAGTAAAAGGATAAGAAATTAAAATAAGAAAAATACATTAGTACCTAAGACTAGACATTTGATGGCCACTACATTATTTATATGTTTTCAATGCCAATAATTTTTCTAGATGTGTTATTTTACTTTAAATCCATTAATACTGATTTCGAATTAAACATATACTTGAATCTGTCTTTTCTTTTTGTCCGTGAAATTAACCCAGCCTCAACCAGTTTTTTGAAAAGGCTAGAGTCTTGGTTTAAAAAAACTAACAGATAAGGGAGCTCTGGCAAGAAACAGCGTTCCAATCCTGAAGGCGCACGGTTTGAGTCCCCCAGATGCTCTACTAGAGAAGGAGGGGGGGCAGTCTCCCCCAGTGTCAGTTGCATCTGACTTTATGGTACAAAACAAGAAAAAGAAAAAAAAATTAAATACCCAGTTTATAATATCAGAATTTATATTTATTCCATCTTACTTATCTATGTATAAGTAATAATATAAGTTATGGTTGTAGTTAATGCTGTGACTGGAATTTGCATTTCTTTTTAGTTGTTTTTTTTTTCCTTCCTTTTCTAGCTTTTCACCTCTGGTCCTTACATCTGGATTGTAGCCATAAGTGGAATTGTAAGTGTGATTTACTCCCTGTTCCCCCGCTTATCTACTCCTTAACTTAAAAAAAAAATTAGTAAAAAAGTCTTTTTAGATTATAGGTAATATTCATTGGTCCACCATATTATTATTTACTATGCCAGCTCCCCAATTCCATGCTACTTAGTTAATGATTAAGATTAATCATTACATGGTTAATTGAAAAAAAGGGGACCCACTTTGTCTCAGTCTTAAGGTAATTTTGATGAACCTTAGAGCTAAATTTTTGTCAGTATTGTCATTTTGAAATTGACAGCCCGTAGTAGGAAAATAGTGACAGAAAAAAGAAGAAGTCAGGCTTACTAAAAATAATGAAATGTTTGCTTTGTAGAAGACATTGTCATGATGCAAAGGAAAAAATTAAGACTGGTTGGAAAATCAGGTGGGTTGGACCTGACTGACTCCTCATGGTCTGTGGCCAGAGAAGGAAGAAGGGCCGGGGCCAGGCTTTGGAGCAGGGCGCTTTGGTGTGTGGTCACTTCACCTCAACCAGTTCCACACCGCTTTTTTGTTCTTGTTTTAATGACAAGCATTTGTCATAAGCTCTGTATTTATAAGACTTCTAAAAATTTAGAGCCTCAGTTTTATAGGCCAGGTTTTAGAAATCTTTTATGATAAATTAGAATAGCCAAACTTTAATAAAAATTAATTTTCAACTAGTGAGAGTATGGTGTTAATTTCTTTTTTTTTAATTTTTTATTTTATTATTTTTTGTGTGAGTGTACCGTCAAATCAGATCTGACTGGTACATGAGGAGATTGTCCCTCCTTCCCCGGCAGAGCATCTGGTGGATTCGAACCGTGTGCCTCTGGGATTGTAGTTGCAGCTCCTTGCCACTAGGCCACCAGAGCTCCCCTTAATTTCTCTTGTAGAAGACTAGATGAGAAATACAAGAAGATTAATAATCCTATTTAAAATATTAAAGGGAAAGGATTTGGAAACTATTTCTTCAACTGTAGACATTTGAAGAAAGTTTCACACACCTCTTTGTGCTTCCTGTGTAAGTGACTGATACTTCTGGGCCAATGCGTCCATGATTTGAACCAGCTCAGTCCTTTCATTATACTCTCTATAATACCCCTTATCTGTGTTATTTTTGTATCCAGCTTGCTCCTCATTCTTCAGCACTGATGTGCTTCCAGTCAAAATTCTAGCGATCCTAGGATGGCTCAAGACCAGGCAGAGTGTTGTTACACTTAAAAGTTAGAATCGGCTTGATTCCACCGAACAGCAGCAAAGCATTTTGCTTGAAAGCAGGGGAATACCAGAAGAATGTATATCTGTGTTTCATTGATTACGCAAAGGCGTTTGACGGTGTGGATCATAACAAACTGTGGCTAACTGTGAGAAGAATAGGAATTCCAGAACATTTAATCATGCTAATGCAAAACCTATACTTGGACCAAGAGGCAGTCGTCAGAACAGAGCAG